TTCAGGACAAACACTGTCAGCATTTAGACTCAGGGTAAAAACAAGGTCTAGAGTGTGCCCCCTGGTGTGTGTGGGGCCAGAAACATGCTGGGTAAAGCCGAAGGAGTCTATAAGGCTGGAGAAATTCATGGCAAAGTGATCAGAGGGATCATCAACGTGGATGTTAAAGTCACCCACAATCACCAGTCTGGACAGCTTCACAGTGGAGGATAGAAAGGCACTAAACTCCTGAAGGACATAACTGTTTGGACCAGGTGGACGATAGACCACAGCACAGTAGAACGGGTCCTTACGCCCAACTTTAATCAGCTGCAGTTCAAAGGAAGCAAAGTGACCAGAGGTTGTAGAGCTACATGGAAGATGGTCTCTGAAAACATCAGCTAGGCCTCCACCACGACCAGAACCCCGGGGCTGGCTAAGAAAAGAATAACCACTCGGGCTGAGTTCAATCAGACCAGAATAATCAGACGTTTGCTGCCAAACTTCAGTCAGAAACAGAAAAATCCAGGTTTTTAGAGAGAATTAGATCATTGAGCAGGAAGGACTCATTGTTAACAGAGCGGGTATTTAATAGAGCCATGCTGAGTGAGGTGGAGGAATCAGAAACTAAAGAAACAGCTGGAGTTAGTGGACGTAAATTAGCAGGGTTAGATCCACGGTGTTTATAAAAACCACTTATGGAGGGAACAGGAGGAGAAACCACTGACGAATGAGGATAAACCGACCTTAAAAAACTTGGACGGATGAACCGCGTCGAAACGCGGCCTGGCGGGAATGTGGAAGTGGCGCTCAGGTCACCAATCAAAGGAAAAGAAGCTAGAAGATCACGCTGATGTTTACTAGATAAACCACGCTTTAAGAGAAGTCTTATCTCACCTGGATTCCTGCTCATTTACCTCTTTTCCTCCGACGTTTTCCCGGGACCGGACAAACATGCTGGAGGTGCGCAGCTCGGGACCGTAGTTTGGCTCTGGGCCAGTGCGCCACTCACGTAAACAAACAGGATGGTACGTCCTTGGTGCGTCTTGGGCGATCGTGAACGAACGGAAGGACAAAAGAGTCTGTCAATCATAGGAGATGGTAGCAGGGACACTACTGAAGAGGATCGCAGACAGGAGCAAGGTGGAAAAGAGGAAGTTAGTGGAGAAAAGTTGGAAAAAGTGGCCGGTGACTGGCTCCAAAACAGAACAAGTCTTCATTGACTCCCATGTTAAAAAAAGGCTAACTTCACAGCAGAAATACATATGTTTACAGCATGGTTAAAAAAACCTCATCTATCCATTTTCAGCCGCTTATCCAGAGTCGGGTTGCGGGGGCTGCAGCCTAAGCCAAGACGGCCAGATGTCCCTCTTCCCAGCTACTGGGGCCAGCTCTTCTGGGGTAATCCAGCCAAGATACATCGTTCCTCCAGCGTCTGCTGGGTCTTCCCTTGGGTCTCCTCCCAGTTGGACGTGCCCGGAAAACCTCACTAGGGAGATGTTCAGGAGGCATTCTGACTAGATTCCCAAGCCACCTCAGCTGGCTCCTCTCGATGTGGAGAAGCAACGGATCTACTCCAAGCCCCTCCTGGATGACCAAGCGTTTCACCCTCGTTCTTTTGGTTGCTACTTTCGGTCTTTTTGGAAAATTTTCAAGAAAAGATGAAAAAGAAGCACATTCGTAAACAACTAAATTCAATTTTTGCCTCTAGGATTGAGTCGTCTCAACTGAGATTTGCTGAGAAACGTGTCCTTCCTTAAAAACAGTGTGCATACAGTCTCCAAAAATCTATGAAACATTTCATGCAGCTCAGCTATCAGCTATGTTAATCACATTACCAGAATGCCTGCATAAAGCACTGACTTACACAGACAATGCCTGTGTGTGTGCGTGCACACAAGACTGAAGGATAGATTAGTGTGACATCGATGTTTCCACAGGAAATCATGTTTCCAAAACTCTGGTTTTCCACTCTTCAACCAACCTCCAACCAGCTCTCTTCCCTGTAGACGCCATCGTCTGCAGACCTCAAGGAAATAAATACTGTCCCAGTTCCCACCTGCAGAATCATTTTAGTAAATTTATTTTCATTTCCAAGGATGACAATTGAAAAAATCTGAAACAAGATTATTTATTTAGCAGATGACACTTTTGCATTTCATAGATTGACAAACTTGAGGTGCTTTTGAGTCATACAGAGCCTCCAATTATTCAGTCATTGATGAAGTTGTGCTGTGACTGTAAATCACCCATACACCGTTAGGTTCAGATCCCATAATTAGGCTGTTGAAACAGATCCCAGATGTCTTGTCTTTCACCTGCAAAGCAGAGAAGTTAAATCAGGACAGGGCTGCAGCTGAGCTCCAATCACTACACCATGTAATGAGTGGTTAACCCTGTCACAACAGCACTTTGACAATATCTGGTTGCTGTGTGATTTAGGAGATCTTCTCTGTGAAAGATGAGCTGTGAGTGAGACAGGCCAGGTTGTGGAAAATGAAAATAAGGAAGGCAGGAGTGAGAAAAACCTGCTAACTGTGTCTTCCTGTCCGTGCTTCTCTCGTTTTCAAACTCCTGAGACCCGAATCGATCGAGGTTTGTGCCGAGAATGTTTCAGTCATTAACAGTGTCTCAGAGTGAGGAATGAGGTGAGTCCCAGAGCAACCACAGATGCATCCTCCATATAAGCAAATAAATAAATAAACAAACCTTAAAAGCAAATAAATGTGTAAACAATATGGAAATCAAATCTTGCTGTGTGACACAGTTTGTTAATTGAAATTTTCCATTTTTTTCATGGCATTTGAGGTTGATACTGGTTAATGCCAATTTGTTGCTTTGCAACTATTCAAAGTGTAAAAATCTGTAAAAAATGGTGTGTGTGTGTGTGTATGTGTGTGTGTGTTTATGCCATTTAGTGTTTGTGTGCATATGTGTGTATGTGTATGTGTACACAAGCTTTTCCATTTTTCAGACAAGGTCCAGATAGAGCCACTTAAACTCTCTCTCTCTCTCTCTCTCTCTCTCTCTCTCTCTCTCTCTCTCTCTCTCTCTCTCTCTCTCTCTCTCTCTCTCTCTCTCTCTCTCTCTCTCTCTCTCTGTATGTGTGTACACACACACACACACACACACACACACACACACACACACACACACACACACACACACACACACACACACACACACACACACACAGGAGCCCACATCTAAGCTTAATTTCCGCAGCGTACAACTTAAAAGCCATTCATTCCTACAAGAAATCGCTGCAAATGCATCGATTAAATGAGTTACCCCCACCATATATGTCTCGATAAGAGAAGAGGAATGAATGTTTTTTGTGAACATGAATGAGATTTCTTTAGGGAGGTGGGTGGCTCTGGCCCACCCCTGACCACCCCTTGGGAACACCAATGCCTGTCCAGGGCTCTGTACCCTAGGATACCTGTGCATGATCACACAGGTATAGAGAGAGTTTGTCTTTTTTTTGCTTTCAAGGAGAGGATATTGCTGTCAACAGCACACAGGATCTGTTACAGCAATATGGGCACTTCGTTCAGAGAACCAACTCCTGATCTCTGTGCCCGGAACATATTTAAAGATGTGAGGTGACAGGTCATTCTCTGTGGCAGGCCCTAAACTTGGGAATGAGCTACCTATCTTTGCGAGGGCTTCCACTTCAGTGGCAGTTTTTTAAGTTAGGCTGAAGATGTTTTTATATGACTTGGCCTTTCCTTTCTGCCATTAGTGTTGTAATTTTTAACCTGCTTGTGGTTTTAGTGTGCACTAATTTCTTTTATTCTGTTTTAAACCACTTTTTTGTGTACTAATTTCTTTTAATTCTGTTATTCAGTCTCTTTTATTTCTTGTTCAGCGCTTTGACGTTACTTTGTAGCCATAAAGCGCTATATTGAGTTGAGTTGTGGATCAGACTGCAATTCTGAATGTTTAAATCAGGGGTCAGTAGTTTCAGATGTTTTGCTTTGAAAAGGGAAAATCATAATATTCATTTTTGTATTTATTCTGGCCAGCGTTTGTGTTTTGACAGGATCTCTTAGCCTGACTCAGCTTTCTTCCTTTCTTCATATCAGTTGATGAACACATGCCTGTGTGATATTTTCCTATTAAAATCCTTTTTGGTGTTGCTTTCATTTTTATGAAGTTTGATCACATTTTTAACCACAAACTCATTCTAATGTGGAATTTGAACAGAAACAGAACAAACTTACTTTCAGAAACACAACAGGCACCTACAGGGAACTCAACAAGGGAAGGAAACATTGATTTTCTTTTGTAAATATTTACATTTTTGCTACATAACCGAATTGTTGTGGACAAAAATAATTATTTGGGTCAAACATTCATTTGGGCCAAACTCTAAACTCTGCCAGAATAATAACATTTCCTTTGTAACAAATCTTGTTTCCTCACACAACTAGATCTGGTTTCTGAATCTGCTCTCTAGACTGAAATGGTTTATAACAATCCCAAAAGAAACCCTTAGATTTTAAATATATGAACAAATGTTTCCCCACTGAGTTCTAAAAAGTAGAACCAGACCTGCCTGAGCAGAGCAAAATTCACAACAAATGAAAGTGGACACGATGTTATCCTGCAATCTTCAAAACTGATTTTCTGTGTTCCAGTTGATGGTGAATTTTTAATGAGTTCATTTCTTGTCTTTAGCCCCAGGCTCTGCTTGTGGAGCATTCTGGGATGTATGTACCAGTGAAGTGGCATAATTGTTTTTGAGACCTATATTAAATTTAATAGGCTCTGGGATGCTTAAAACCATTTATTATATATAAAAACTACTTTCAAGATATGTTTTTTTTAAAGAAAAGGCCTTGACTGGAAAAAGGCTAGTACATGGCAAGCTTTTGAAAACAAGTCATCAAATACCTAGAACTTGACCTTTGATTCGAGACAATAATAAAAGAAAGAAACAGCCCAGAAGAATGAGAAAAACATTATGATGTGTGAAGGTGGGAGGGGTGGAAAAAAACGTGATTGTTGGTTCTGATCGGGGTGGTAGTGATTGCTGCTGGGTCAAGTGTGTGTGTACACAGAGAGAGCTTGTTCTCCTCGGATCTGCTAGAATCTCAGTTTTTTGAAGATCTTTTTCCTATTTGGCCTAATCTGTTCTTCCCTGTGTTGGATTACTTTTTTTTTTGTTTGTGGAATAAACTTTTCCCTCCTTCGGGAAGGAATTAAAAGTAATTCGTGGGGGCCTCCTTTCCTTCTCTGGCACAGCAAAAGGTGAGTTTGCTGATTGCTTCATTCCATCCCAAGGTGTTTACATCAGTGTTCGCCTGATCAGAGGGGAAGCTGGTGAGGGTATGTTCTGAGCGTGATGAGCTCATGCAGTGTGTTCCGATACAGCAAGAGTTTTCGTACAGCAAAATAAAGGTGATTTTACCAGAATTAAAAGCCTAGGTTTCACACGGTAAAATGTCTCTCCACAGAGTAAGGGTGTTCGTCAGGAGGGGTCTAAGGTCAAGCCCACCATATTGTACCGTGAGCCAAGGCCTTGAGATTTAACACCTACGTACAGTTAGCCCAGTGGCTTGGCTTAAGACATATGCAAAAGTTATTTCACTAATATATGAGATAGACTCATTGCACACAAAGCCAGATACTTCAAGCCTTTATTTGTTATAATTTAGATGATAACGTTCAGCTTATGAACACCCCAGATTCAAAGAGTATGAAATTTACTTGCTTTTAACTGTAATGGACTCAGCCATAGATCTATAGAAACCCACAGCATGATAACAACAAAGTCAACCAAGCCTGGATGTTATGTTTAGACATGAATTCATCTGTCTACCTATCGTCATTTCAAATGGGGAGACAGCTGTAAACTCATGAGGAATGGCCCACATGGCCATAAGGACCAACGGAAGCTTCACATCCCAGTATTTGTGATTACAAGACACGTATTTCTTTAACATGCTGACAAACGTTCGGTTCATCCTTTCAACTTGGCCAGAAGATTGGGGCTGGTAACCAATGTGGAAATTGGCCTTTACCCGCAACATCTGCCAAAGGTGATCCATCACTTCAGAGGTGAAGTGAGTTCCCATATTTGAGATAAAACGTGCGGGGAGACCAAACCGGGAGATTATGTGATTCATCAAAAGGACAGCAGTTTGTGCCGTGTCATTAGGTGCTGGTAAACATTCAACCCATTTGGTGAATGCACAGGTCACGGTCAATAAGTACTTGTTACCTCTGCTGGACTTGACCAGGGGCCCCACCCAATCAAATTGCAAGTCTGACCACGGTGCGGACGTCCCCCTGCTTTGTAGAGGAGCTCTGTGGATGGGGTTTGATGGTGGAAACTGACAGCAGACCAAACAGCTCTGGATGTAGTCTGAAATGTCTCGACGCATCCCCGGCCAGTAAGCAACCTGGCTCAGGGTACCGAACGTGGCCTTGACACCTTTGTGTCCAGTGGAAGGAGAGTCATGAGCTTGCGTGACCCCCCCCCCCCCCCCCCCCCCCCCCCCCCCCAGGGACTGTGGCGCCACAAGAACAGGCAACGATGGAGGCTTGGAGACATGCATCTGCAACCCTTCAACCATTCTCAGCGTGACACAAACACGAAAGAGAGCACGGAGCTCAGGAATGGAGTCAAGCTCGACAGAAGAAGGTAGACGAGCTGTCGGATCAGAACAGTACAGGATCATCCTGCTGATAGCAGGACCCTTGGACTGAAGAATGACAACGTCGTTCTCAGAAAAGACAGGTTGAACGGATATTTAAATGGAATCATCACATCTTATTGGTCATAATTAACAAATGTATTCCACTACATTTAATGACGAATCAGCCAGGAGATGCAACCCGGGGTCTGCAGATTAGTTGTCCAAGGTGGATGTTTGAGAGTTGAAGCAGCTCTGAAAAGAGCTGTTGTGGCTGTAGTCACTTGCAGCATCGCCGAAAGGTTTTTGATTTAAGGTCAAAAGGAGTTTGTTTCAAAAGAGATGCTTCTTTCCTGATTTGGCCGAATCAGGAGTCAGCTGGAAACTGAAATAATCGGGAAGTAGTTCTTGTTTTATTAAACTACTTTGTAATGAGTTTTTGGCCAAGTTTGGCAAATCAGAATTTGACATGTTTCTGAGTATTTACCAACATCCCTCAGAAAACCACGCCCTCTTTCAGATACAAAGATTTCTTAACATTGTGAATACGAATCTTTAAAACTCTTATGTTAGGTGCATATTAACCTTAACACGTATCTTATTGTAATGGATATGAGCGCAAACAATAGTTAACTTGTTAAATCAAACACAGATTATTCAACATTTGATTTAAACATCTTTTTCATTCATCACATATGATTATTTAACTTATACCTGTAAAATCCTGTAGGATCTTCCAGTAGCGAGTGAGGATTTCAGCAGTCTGGCTTTTACGCAGAGAGTGCAGGAACCTTGGGAGAGAATGTTTGTCTGGATGTTTTGTCTTTTGTATGTAAACACACACTGAGCAGAACCTTCTGGTTTTGGAAGGCCAAATAGAAAGTGGATTTATTTCTGTAGATGAAAGGTTATTATGTTGGTCAAGATATAGGTGAAAATTGACCCATTTGGTACATTACACAATAAAGAATTGACTTGAAAAATGTTGGACCTCTGAAAAAGTATAATCATGCATATGTACTCAGTACTTGAGTTGGGTCCTGTTAGCTTTTACTGAAATAAATGAACATTTGCATCATATTCAAAATTTTAGAGTTTCACAAGTGAAAACAAACATTTTGTAACCAGACCAATACTTTTTTAAATCTAGATTTATTCCATTAGCTTTAGCTTAGCATAAGCAATGTAAGTAAATGGTAACAGCTAGCATTGTGTCATAACCTTGCGCCTTGCCGCGGTGGCTTACGGCAGTCTAAATGGGCTTCTGTATTACTTATTATTTTCATTTGCAGTCAAAATCATTATTGAGGTGACCAAGAAAAGCAGGGTCATTATTGTGTAATTTATATGACTTTTTCACACCAAATGATAGCCGTTACCACTTACTTACATTGTTTATGCTAAGTTAAAGCTAAAGAATTACAGCAGAGAATGACCAGGCTGGGTATAAAATGTTTTTTTTTTTTCCCCCACTAGTCCAACTCTGGGGAATATAATAACAGATTAAGTCCATTTAGGGGTTGAAATATAACTTTCACACTAACCAGTAATTTATTTTAGACTTAAAAGGTAACATGAACCATGAACCAAAAATGCAAAGAAACTGGTGGTCAAAAACTGTTTTTTGTACTCGACTCAGAAATGGAAGAAATTGAAATCAGGAGCATACACATATGACTGAGTGACACCTTGACAGTGGGTGATCTGACCCAGCTGACCTCCTATTGAAGCAGAGAGCTAAATGCCCCCACTTTGATGCAACAGCACTGGACCTCCTGTGTGTGTGTGTGTGTGTGTGTGTGTGTGTGTGTGTGTGTGTGTGTGTGTGTGTGTGTGTGTGTGTGTGTGTGTGTGTGTGTGTGTGTGTGTGTGTGTGTGTGTGTGTGTGTGTGTGTGTGTGCGTGCAAGTGAACTACACTGTTGTCTTGTGTATAAATATGAAAGTGTCCCATGGCTTTTCTGTACATGCAAAAGTGAACGACCCTTGAATATACAAACTGATGTTCAGCCATAACACCGTTACATAGGGACCTCTGTTTCTGCTGCCCCAACCCTTTGAAGCTTTTTGCCAGACAACTTAATATCTGACACCAAGCTATCAGTAGCAGACTCATTAAGTTGTGTAGATTGAAATGTCTGGTCATCATTAATCAAACACGTTTTTCATTCATTTTTCAACTCAGTGTGATAAAACTGATATCTGAGTGTTTTAATGCCTCCAACTCATTCCTGAATCCATTAAATGATTTTAACTACTTTTAAAAAGCAAATTGATTGGTTTAAAGAAGGTACTCCTATTAGGGGATGTTAGAAACATTCTTGGTCTCCATATCCTGCCTCACACCTTTAGTGCAGGAATAGACTGGAATTTTAATGTTTTCTCAGTATACATTTCATACCTCCTAATAAGAAACATTCAATTCATAAGATAATCTTATGGTTTATCTTGTTTCACATATCATTTGCATCCCATTAATATTCCATCTTTTCTCAAATTCCTTATCTTCAAGTGTTAAGCTCATATGTTGGCTTATATGGTGATAATCACCCATAAGCTGATGCAAATATAGTCTGGGAATAAGTGACAAACTACAAGACTGAGCTTAAAGAAGGAGCTGAAATGTGACTTTGTGTAAAGAGACAAAAGGGTTCTTTTACCTCTTTGCGCCGAGTTAATTTCCTCTCCCCTCCTCCTCCATTTCCTCCCTCCTTTTTTCTTCCTTTTTTATCTTTCATCACTTTTCTTCAGCATCTGCCTCTTCTCCGTCTGTCACATCCCTGTCATGCTGACTCATTTTAGGGTTCCTACACACACACTCACACATACACAAACACACACACAAAGGACCTGTGTGTGTGTGTTTGTGTGTGTGTGTGTGTGTGTGTGTGTGTGTGTGTGTGTGTGTGTGTGTGTGTGTGTGTGTGTGTGTGTGTGTGTGTGTGTGTGTGTACGTGTGTGTGTACGTGTGTGTGCTGGTTAGAAGCCATGTGGTTTCTGAAACATCAAAGCTGTAACTATAGAGTCTCTCTGCAGTCTGCAGCTTCCCTCTACATCACACACAAACCATACTGCAAGTAGAACACTGATATGTCTGCACAGCCACAGCAAAGAAAATTTGAGGGGGGCTTACTAACACACACAGTAGGAGGAAATGTACAGGTGGAGGATGAACAGACATTTACAGACCAAGAGAAGTTTGGATGGGCTGGAATTAAGTAAAGAGGGGATGAAAGAGTACTGTACCAGGAGAAAAATGCAAGTCTTTCATTGAATTTACCATAAAACAAACAGGGTGTTTCCAGTCAAGCCCTATGTGATTTTATTTTTGTAACCATGCAGCTGAATCAGATTTATAAATATATATACATATCTTGTGTAGTTATAAAAAGCTAAATCTCTGTGTCTGCTGTGGGATAAGCAGGCAGAAGGTTGTTTTTATTGCTACGCCTACATTAGTGGCAGCGTGGACTGGTGTGTGACTGAAAACCTGAACCAGTATGATTGGATGTTACTGACTACAACCCTGAAACAAGCTGATTATTGTAAAGCATGTTACAAATAAATGTACTGACAGTCAGGGAACGTGTTTCTTCTCAGACAGCTTGACTTCT